ACAGTTTGAAAACAGCTGTGATTTTATGTCAGAACAGGTTATTGGTACAAACACAAACTCACAGCCGTACCTTTTGCTTGCTGCCCTCACGATCAATCTTGATCTTCTGTAGCGCAGCGTAAAAGAAGTCTGTGACGGATGTAGGGAAAAAGGAAAACTCCAATTTTTCCAATATGGGACCCATGAAAGGAAAGAAGGCTGAAATTAAACAAACAAGAGGATATTTATTAATGGAAGATGAAGGACAGCAGCTGCACTGATGATCTATGCATGAGCTGCAGTTATAAAAATGTAATGAATACTTTACCAACAGTGAGGAAGATGGGGCTTAAAAAGTCAAATTTCAGCATCTTTTTGATGTTTGTGACAAAAGGATCTGAGGGGTTGTTGAGAGAGTCGATGTCCACACTGAAGGCGGTGCTGGTTACCACATCCATACTGTAGGGTCCAAAAAACCTGCAAAACCACACAAACACATCAAACATGACCTTTATTAATGCAGACTTAGAAGAGATGAATCTGCGCTTTTTCTGATGTATTTAAATGAAAACAGTATGAGAGATCTCACTCTTTCAGCTCTAGAGGTTCTTCTTTATCTGCTTTCTTTTTCATGCTGCTGATCAGGACAGCTGAATGCTGCTTCATGATGTCAAACATCTGAGGCACAAACAGACAAAAAACAAAAAAGTCAACCCTGAATGCAATTTCAGCAGCACAGAGGTACCACTGTTTTTCTACATCTACATTTGGACTGAACAAAATCCCAAAGAAGGGAGCATTCATGTTAATAGATGTCTTTTTTGGCATTGTATTGTTTTCAGGGCAGAGAGGGACGTGCCTCTTTCAATCTCCCAGAGGTGAAGGAGGGAGAAAGGACGCTGCGGATCCTCCTCCACTGATCATCCTCTGCAATGGACACAGCATCGTACAGTGGCCCATTCAGACGGAAATTCTGCAATAACATTCAAAAGCAGCTGGTGATGAGGACAGGAGGTCAAGTTTAAAAAAAAAAAAGAGTGATTGAGTCGTATATATGTCCTTACTAACCCTGCGGTTGGTGAAGAAAGAGTAACACTCCTTTATCAGGATCATTTTTATCATGGCGGGATCTGTGATACACAACACGGGCTGACGACCATCAAAAATGCTGTATAAACAGTGAAGGGGGATTAATAAAACAATAATTAATATTTTTCATTAATTAATCATTTTTCATGTTCACACACACACACACACACGCACCTGTAAAACTGAAGCACAGATAATAACCTCACCTATTTACATATTCTATATGCATTCAGATTCACACAAACACACACTGTAGAAAACACTACTTACCCCCACATTTTCCCATATTTCTTATAACACTCTTCATCAAAGTTAAAAAAGTCCCTGGAAACAAGAGCGATACAAAAGATCTAATTATTACAACGCATCATGAGCTGTTTATGACGTAGAACACTGAACAACACCAGATCACACAAAGATCAAGTGTGTAGTGTTGGCTACACAGGGGCAGTTCGTGACCTTAGGTCACAGCGAAAGTTAAAGAAGGTGGGGCTTATCAAACGGACTTCAACTACACCAGAGAAGGATGATAACACAATTAAAAAAATATGTGTCATCTTTCAATTATTCTACAAATCATAGAAAATAGTACTTGGATCATTATGCAAATATGACCCAGGTCAAGCTATTACCAAGACTCTGGAAAATGTAGATAAACTGAGAGCAACGAAATCTGGTTCACTGATCTAACACTGCGCACACAGGCAGCATTCAAAGTGACGTGTGGATCGGAGACATTAATATAGGGATCATACATTTGAAACAGTTCACAGTGGATACAGTATATACAGTATATACAGTGTAAGTGTTATTACCCACCTTTCTATATTTCAACATGGTGCCAAAAAATGGGATAGGTGAGGGCCCAGGGACTCCCAATCTCTTAAATGTCCCATATGTCCAGCAGGAATACCTGTGAAAAACATGGAACAGGTGTAAGAGAATAAAAGAAGAACAAAAAGTGGAAATAGCTGAACACAACTCGTATTCTTTAAAACTTACACAAACAGCAGCGTGATGAGGGCAGCCAGCAGGGTCCACGTCTCTGCGGACAAGAAGAAGAAGTACGCCATGTCTGCCAAGTTTCTCTCTTCTCTTCTTCTGTTTTTTCTCTTCTCTCAGTGGTAACACAAGCGTCCTGACCAGAGCTTTTTATGTTGGGCTGCACACACATGTTGCATGAGAAAGGGAAGTGTGTGTGAGTTTAACCAATAGCAGCAGAGAGCATCAAGTGAATAATTAACAGAGAGAAAGACTGAGGAGCATTTACTGCGTCATAATCACGAGTAATATCTCTGCTGTTTGTGACCCTGCAGTTTTCAGGCCTTCATTTTTGTACTTTATGAGTTTAAAACAAACAAAAGAAGCAAAACAATTCAATAAAAACAGCGGTGATTAGCATAAAGGTTTTGTTGTTTGAACTTTAATCTTATTGTATTTGGAATTTGAATGTTACAGAGCAGTCACAGTCAAGTCATTACGAACATTTTTTGGTCAAATTGTTTTATATAAACAGCTTCTCTTCTCTGGTGTAGTTGAAGTCCATTTGATAAGCCCCACCTTCTTTAACTTTTCACTGTGACCTAAGGTCCAGGCATGTACTCAGATCTGTGGGTGAAAGTTCTTTTCCTGTTTTCCTTCAGCCTGGAAAGAGGAAAGAGGCTGGTTTATGTAACAGGACTCCTCCTCTCTGAGATCAGCTAGAGATTACTTTAATACAGCCGAGCAAGAGGGAGCCATGGGTTTTGTTCTTTTCTTTTCTTTACAAACATGGATACTGCTGATCACATTTATCTGCATATTTGTTATGTGAGTTAATGTTTACAATAAAACAGTTTAAATTTAAGCTGGCAACAGCTGAATTGGTCAAGACAAGCAAGTTAACAGTAAACAGTGTTTGAGTGAACCTGTGCACCTTCATGCTTTAACCCCTTTGATGTTCTGTCTAGGTACGGCCACTGGACCTTTGGTATATTTGAGAAGATGGGGATCCCGGGTCCAAAGCCAGTCATGTACTGGGGAACAATAGCCAGGCACAACCGTGTATGTAAATCCTTGTGATTGCTATTTGTAAAGATCGAATGATTTGTACCAAGTTCAGAAGGATACACTGAATAATGTATAACATATCTTAGTGATAAATATGCATTTCCTGTTAACAGGTTCACTACTTAGATGACTACGAATGTGCTCAAAAGTATGGGAGGATATGGGGGTGAGTTTTTAAAACTGTCCATATAAGAGCATGTGCATGTTTTTAATTTATTTCTTTGTTTTTGTCAGCACAACTGGAGCCAAAGCTCCTTCAGCAATTAAAAATATTTTCCACGACAAATACCTCCCAAAATGCAGATGTGTTCTGTGTAAATGTTCAGTGTGTATGAGTTCAGGAAACCCATGCTGGCTGTGATGGATCCTGACATGCTGAAAACCATCCTGGTGAAGGAGTGCTTCACCTACTTTACCAACCGCAGGGTGAGAACACGAGCATGAAATGAACACTGACTGAAACAAAACACCCAACAGTCTGTTATAGTAAAACTTCGTGGTAACTAGTAACCCTGGGATATGATTGTTTTTTTCCAATAAAACGATCAAAACAATCAAAATGATCAAATCATCCTGCTGGAAATACAAAATTGGAGAAATAACGAGAAAATGTTTCAAGAAATGTTTTCACGAGTTCCCTCAGTAACAACAAAAGCTGAAAACACTGAAAACTGTGAAAAGCCTCTGCTCACATAATTTCCATCCATGTTTCAGATAAACTCATGAATATGATAAATACCACTGCACTTGAATATGACATACAGTCAAGCTTTGCTCTTTCATACCTATTATCACTGGAAAAAAGCGTGATATTCGACCCGAAGGTGATTGAAACATGCTAATGTTAGCATGTGTACATACAGCATACAACAGTAACATATCAAGCACGCTCACTTTCTGCTCTGACATGGCTCTTTAGCTTTTAAAATGATATAATAACACTTTTAACATAGCACATGTTCAAAGATGTAACAACTTACATTACCAGTCAAAAGTTTGGACACACCTTCTCATTTAATGTATTTTTATTTTTATTTTTACTACTTTCTACATTGTAGATACAAACTGAAGAAATCAGATATATGAAGAAAGATATATGGAGTTATGTAGCAAAGTCTTATATTTTAGATTCCTTAAAGTTTCCACCCTTTGCTTTGTGACAGCGCTGCAAATCCTTGGCCTTGTTTCAATGAGCTTTATGATGTGATCACCTGAAAAGGTTTTCACTTCACAGGTGTCCCCTGTCAGCGTTCATTTGTGGAAATTCTTGCCTTCTTAATGGGGTTGGGACCATCAGTTGTGTCAGGTTGGTACACAGTTGACATCCCTATTTGACAACTGTTAGAATTCCTATTATAGGAAGAACCAATCAGCTAAGTAAAGAGAAACGACAGTCCATCATTACTTTAAAAACTGAAGGTCAATCGAGAACATTGCTAAAACTTCGAATATTAATGTTCCCAAGTGCAGTCACAAAAACCATCAAGAACTACGACGAAACTGGCTCACATGAGGACCGCCCCAGGAAAGGAAGACCAAATGGTAAATGGCCTGTATTTGTATAGCGCTTTTACTAGTCCCTAAGGACCCCAAAGCGCTTTACACATCCAGTCATCCACCCATTCACACACACATTCACACACTGGTGATGGCAAGCTACATTGTAGCTACAGCTACCCTGGGGCGCACTGACAGAGGCGAGGCTGCCGGTCACTGGCGCCACCGGGCCCTCTGACCACCACCAGTAGGCAACGGGTGAAGTGTCTCGCCCAAGGACACAACGACCGAGACTGTCCAAGCCGGGGCTCGAACCAGCAACCTTCCGATTACAAGCGAACTCCCAACTCTTGAGCCACAATCGCCCCCGAGAGTCACCTCTACTGCTGAAGATAAAATCATCCGAATCACCAGCCTCAGAAATTGCAAGTTAACAGCACCTCAGATTAGAGCCCAGATAAATGCCACAAAGAGTTTCAGTAGCAGACACATCTCTACATCAACTGTTCAGAGGAGACTGTGTGAATCAGGTCTTTACGATCAAATAGCTGCTAAGAAACCACGACTAAGGAAAAGCAACAAACGCAAGAGATTTGTTTGGGCCAAGAATAACAAGGACAATAGACCAGTGGAAATCTGTGCTTTGGTCTGATGAGTCCAAATCTGAAATCTTTGGTTCCACCTGCCGTGTCTTTGTATGACACAGAAAATGTGAACACATGCATGATTCCCAGCGTGAAGCATGGGGGAGGAGTTGTGATGGTACTGGTGCTTTGCTGGTAACACTGTTGGGGATTCATTCAAAATTGAAGGCACCCTGAACCAGCATGACTACCACAGCATCCTGCAACAACACGCCATCCCATCTGGTTTGCGTTTAATCGGACCATCATTTATTTTTCAACAGGACAATGACCCCAAACACACCTCCAGGCTGTGTAAGGGCTGTTTGACCAAGAAGGAGAGCGATGGCCTGGCTTCCACAGTCACCTGACCTAAACCCAGTCGAGATGGTTTGGGATGAGATGGACCTCAGAGTGAAGGCAAAAGGGCCAACAGGTGCTCAGCATCTCTGGGAACAAGACTGTTGGAAAACCATTTCAGGTGACGACCTCATGAAGCTCATCGAGAGAATGCCAAGAGTGTGCAAAGCAGTAATCAAAGCAAAGAGCGGCTACTTTGAAGAATCTAAAATATAAAAGGGTTTTTTTGTTTACTATATAATTCCATACATGTTCACTCATAGTTTTGATTTGCATCTGCGAATCCTTTGCCTTATCATTGTACAAGTATTTAAAGCTGTTTGCCAAACACGTGCAAACATATAACCATGACCTAAAACCACTATCTCTCCAGAACTTTCGTCTGAACGGAGATCTCTATGACGCAGTGTCTCTGGCTGAGGATGATCAGTGGAGACGGATTCGTAACATCCTCTCTCCCTCCTTCACCTCTGGCCATCTAAAAGAAGTAGGTGGAGACATATGGAGGTTACAAAAGAGTATTATTTGTCTTCACCATTGTTTCACTTGCGTTCTTTTCCTCTGTTCAAGATGTTTAGCATCATGAAGCATCATTCGCACAAACTGACCGACAGCCTGCAGTCCAAGGCGCACAATGATGAGGTCATTATTGTGAAAGAGTGAGTGATATCATCCAAGCTAAGTTTGTAAAACATTAAACCCCAGATTTTCCCCCAAGATGAAAAATAAATGTGTTAGGTAAAGGAACATGTGGGCTGATTTTGCAGCTGTGTGGAGCAAACAGTTGAAGGCCTTGAATGTGCTACTGCTGAGTACAATGTGTGCATTCCAGCTTCTTTGGATCCTACAGCATTGACGTGATGGCAAGCTGTATATTCAGTGTGGATTTTGACTCAATCAAGAACCCTTCAAATCCCTTCATCACCCACGCAAACCAGATGTTTAAATTTTCCCTTCTTCTTTATATTTTTCAAGGTACTGCCTCTGTTTTGTTTTGGTTTTTTTCTCTTATTATTAACAGATTTATTTGGTAACCAAAGGTTTTGCCCCATTTTTTCTTTCTCAGCATGCTTTCCAATTTTTCTTCCTCTCCTGGAGTGCCTGGGTGTCTCCTTGTTCCCCAAGTCTTCTACCGCTTTCTTAAAGTCAGTTGCGGAGAAGGTCAAAGCCGAACGCATCAGCTCGTCCCAGGTTTGGACAAACACAAGCTCAGTATCGTCATAAATATAGTCTTGTGTCGCAGCTCATCGAATGCTTAGCTACAATGAAACTTGCAGAAATCCAGTTGAGAAATCACTAACAGATGACTGAAACAATCTCACCTCATGACCCGTTTACATGTTTTAGTCACATCATGTGACCTTGATTGTTAAATAGAAATATCCAAATATGCCTACCAAATCTCCTGTGATCTCAACATGGTGTGCCACACATGCCACACATATAAAAAGAACACCAGAACATGTCAGAGGTTTCAAAATTCCTAAAGAGAATTATTGGCGCCAAGTCTTAAACTCATATTCCCTGATTTTAGTTTTATGGTAAATCATTTTTATGTGTGTGTTTGAGGTTCACCTTCACATGCGGGCATTGTTTCAAGTGCTTGTTCAGATATGATGTAAAAGCCATTTAATCAGATGTGTTTTTGTATGACCTGTTTTTTAGGCTTCAGATGATATGCTTCAGCATTTGATCAAGTGTCAGACAGCCAGTGAAAATGACAAAGAAAAGAAGCATAAGGGTAAAAACATCACTACACGTAGAGTCCCTGTGGTCACATCAGATGTCTCATGCCCTCTTCTGTTGTTCCTAACAGGTCTTACTGAACACGAGATAATTTCCCAAGTGACCATGTTTGTGTTTGCTGGCTACGAGACAAGTGCCATCGCTCTTGTTTTTTTAGCGTACAGTTTGGCACGAAATCCTGAAATCATGAAACGCCTTCAAAGTGAAATAGACTCCACTTTCCCAAACAAGGTAGAATCAAAGTTTCTGATTATGGAGTTGTTTTCTTAATATTATTTGATGAAAACATTAAATCAGAGCTGTCTTTAACCAAAATTGTGATTTGTAACAACCTTATAGGGTCCAGTTGAGTACGAAGCTCTGATGCAGATGGAGTACCTGGACAGTGTGGTCAGTGAGTGTCTGAGGTGATGAGCTTTTACTTGTGCTTGCTGAAAAAATATACACTATGAGACCGCATGGTGACAAAGAGAGAGAAGGGAAAGGGTGGAATTAGATGAAGGTGTGATAATGGACAAAAAAAAGAAGAAAAAACCTGGGTACACCACAGGTCAGGGGAGCCATAGTGAAGATAGAGGCTCACAGAGGCTGTGATGCAAGCGGCACAGGAGTGTACCACAGTCAATAGGACCTGAGTTACAGGCTGTGTATGTGTGATCTAAGACAGTCCAGCACATACTTGCAGGTTGTGAGAGGGCATGCAAGCTGGGACATTGCACATGGATTGCACAAACACCAGCATACAAGAATAATTTAAAAAAATTCCCACCTAGTGAAAAAACATATACTCATACCACATCAATCCAAATGCCAGTAGGAGTGCTTGTGATTGCATGCTTAGTGAAATACAGACATTTAAAAAGTATTCCCATTTTGTCAACAGGTTGTACCCCTCAATTCCACGTCTGGAACGAGTGGCTAAGGAAACTATAAAAATCAGTGAAATCACAATCCCAAAAGGCATGCTTGTTATGGTTCCAGTCTACGCTCTGCACCGTGACCCCGAGCTGTGGCCAGAGCCAGAGGAGTTCAAACCTGACAGGTAGTTAGCAACTTATCTTAGCAAGTTAGCAATTTAGTTAGCAATTTATCTTATCGTTCTGAAGATAAATAGCAACAATTCTGCAAAGCTACTTATCATTTACTTAAGTCATGCCAACAAGGAATTTCCAAGTACAGCCTTTCTCACTACTGGGGATTCTGAGGGATGTTGAGGGTTGTTTACTCATTCAGTCATTCACTGCCAAGATTAACCCTGTAAAACCTAAAACAACTAAATAATCCACAGAAAGTTACATTTCAAACAATTCAGTTTTTATTGAACCTTCTAAACAAATGTATTAATTCATAAATAACAGTTTGCACATTTGTACCATAGTTTAATATCATTTTTGCTACATCTGGCATTTTTATGCAATTTCTTTCTCACAGTAGGCCTGTGTCAGGTTACTGAGGAAAAAATAAATCACACACAAAAACATGATATGCTTGGCATTACAACATTAAGCATATTTTCTTTTGTAAATATCTTTGTATTATATTTTAAAGGACATGTTATTAGGGCAGCATTTAAACACTTCTGTTATATGATTCTATTAATTAATTAAAAGCAGTCATAGCAGGCAGAAAAAAATCATATAAATTGTGGGTATTTGACATATTTTTTCCAATTTGTTTTACAGATTTAGTAAGGAAAACAAGCAGAACATCAACCCGTATACTTACCTTCCATTTGGGGCTGGGCCAAGGAGCTGCATGGGGACGCGATTTGCTCTGATGATGGTTAAACTGGCCATTGTGGAAGTTTTGCAGAACTTCAGCTTCTCAGTCTGCAAAGAAACAGAGGTGACTATGTGTAAATTGCAAACTTAGCTTGACATAATTTCCTTCGTGCAATAAGACAGACAGAAAACAACATTTGCTGTCAAAAACTGATGTTTCTAATTTAGCAAATTTGTTCGTTCCTCAGATCCCCTTAGAGATGGATGTTGCAGGCTTTGTCTCTCCGGTTCGACCAATCAAACTAAAGCTGAAGATGCGTTCCATCAGCTCAGCAAATGTGGATCCATGTAACTAGAAAGCGCTCAGAGATTTAATATGCAAGAAAAACTCTGGGTATGAAAATACCAATTTAATATATTTCATTAATGATCATCTACTCATTTCTTGTCAGTTGGTTAGCATTTAAAAAAGCAGTAAATAATCACTAATCACTGACATGTCACATCATTAAGAAGTAATGACACAGAGTGCCTCACTAACATACAGAAAAAGGTGGAAGATTTACATAAATATTTGGAAAGAGACAACTTTTTAAAATAATTTTGTTTCTGTACATTACCATAATACATTTTAAATGAAACAACCGAGATGCAGTTGAAGGGCAGACTTTCACCTTTAATTCAGTGGGTTGAACAAAAAGATTGTGTAAAAGTGTGAGGAACTAAAGTATACTTTAACACAATCCAATCATGTCAGGAGCTCAAAAGTAATTGGACTAATTAAATAAGTGAAAATACAATGTTCATTTCTAATACTTGGTTGAAAACCCTTTGCTGGTAATGACAGCCTGAAGTCTTGAACTCTGATGCTGGGTTTCCTCTTTTTTAATGCACCGCCAGGCCTTTACTGCAGTGGCTTTCGGCTGCTGTTTATTTGGTAGACTTGGATATCTCCCTGGAGAGTGTTGTTCACTTGCTGGTTGTTTTCAAGGGGTTTCTCTAGGAAATGATTCTGCGATTATCCACCACTGTTGGCTTCCGTTGATGTCCAGGTCTTTTGGTATTGCTGAGTTCATCAGTGCTTCCTTTGTTTCTCAGGATGTACCAAAGTACAGATTTTGCCATTCCCAATATTGTAGGATGTGTCAGCTTCACAGCTTAAGGATGGCTTGTTTCACTTGCATGGAGAGCTCCTTTGACCTCATGTTGTCTCTTCACAGCAAAATCTTCCAAATGCAAGCAACACACCTCAAATCAACTCCAGACCTTTTATTTGTTTAATTGATAATGACACCACGAAGGAATTGCCCACACCTGCTCATTAAATAGCCTTTGAGTCAAAATCACAGATCTATAATGAAAGGGTCATGGATGAAGGCTTAATTTAAAGGCTTTAATTTTACACATGTTAAATTACTCTTTCGTTGGAAAAGTGATACATAAACATATTTGGGAGACAGCATCTCTTCACTGTGAGAGCTCTAAAAAAGCCGAGAGAGTGGGAGGAAGAGAGTGGGTGTGGATGCTGCTTATCTTCCTGGAGGAGCATTTTTCGTTTGTTTTATTCTTATTAACCCTGCTGTTCATTAATAAACTATTCTTGCAACAGACACAGCTCATCCTCCGTGGTTTTCTTTGAGTGCATTTTCCTAAGTCAACTAAACATAAGCTGATTGAGAGGCTCAGGCTTTCCAGCCCAAAGCTTTAGACACAACTTAAACGGATGACCAGAAGACACAAAGACACTTTTCCAGTGAATGAACACCCTTTTCTATTTAAATTCAAAAACTCAGGTATCTGAGCCAAAAGCCAAAATGACTGTAACATGATTACACATAGACATGATCCACGAAATGAAGCTTATGCGTAAATTCAATAAGGAAGCTCTGTAATCAGCCATCTGCCTGTTTCCTGGGTGTTAGTCTGCTTTTCTGTTCTCTGCAGCTCTATGACTTTCCCATGCTGTCAATCTCAGTAGCGTTATCATTACTCTGGTCCAATTCTGTCATGATGGGTCCTTGGAGTCTAATTGGCAAATACATTAATTCCCTAATCTCCATAAATCATGTTCAAATCCTCCAAGTTGATCTCTCCTTATTGAGCTGCAACAAAAAAGTGGTGGCGCTCCGAGAGGATATGAAAACAAAACACCCGAGAAGTGATGTGATGTTTGTAATCAGCTCTTTTGAGAATTAAAGGTTATAATGCAATGGTGTATTTTAGTTACCGGCCCCGGCTCGGACAGTCTTGGTCGTTGTGTCCTTGGGCAAGACACTTCACCCGTTGCCTAGTGATGGGGGTCAAAGGGCCCGGTGGCGCCAGTGTCCGGCAGCCTCACCTCTGTCAGTGCGCCCCAGGGCGGCTGTGGCTAAAACGTAGCTTGCCTTCACCAGTGTGTGAATGGGTGGGTGACTGGATGTGTAAAGCGCTTTGGGGTCCTTAGGGACTAGTAAAGCGCTATACAAATACAGGCCAAATACCAGAGAAATATGATTGTGCACTTTTCAGATTTTATAGATTTCAGCTATTTCCAGGATCCTGTAACCTCTTATCTTGTTCATATACGACTTTGCATTTCCTCCTCTCACCCCAAACCGATCTAGCCTATGGCGGCCCTCCATGAGCTTGGAGGTTTCCACTTGTTAAAAGGGAGTTTTTCCTTCCCACTGTCACCAAGTGCTTGCTTGTCTGATTATTGGGATTTTCCCCTGATTGTTGTTGCAATTTGGTGATATATAACTAAAACTGAATTGAATTGAAGTGAATTGAATTGATACATGCTTTAGACAAAAATATAAATTGTTGATTATTCTTTACAGTATGTTGTCATAAACTCTTTGCCCATACTAAACAATGACCGTCCACAAGAGCCAAATGCCTGACTGCTACGTTTTTGTCTTTACTGGATCTATGTTAACGCTTTAAAGCCTAAACCATGAAATAATTGCCAGAAAAATTAAAAAAAGAAATTAAATAGTGTCACGGTGTGGCAGGCAGACCGTGGGTGTATGGGGGAAAAGGAGGACCCAGGCGCGGAGCTCTATGTGTAGACAGTGCGTTTATTTACAGTGAGGTAACAGATGCACAATAAATCCCCTTTGCTCCTTAGACTCCCATGCGTGTGTTCCCCTCCGACGTCCGTGCTCGTGCTCCCGGCAGTTGTGTTTCTGCACACCCTGTGCATGCTGCCCTTCTGGTCCCTCGTTCCACTTGGAGTCTTCGCTTAAGGATCCCACACCGGTGGGACCTCCAACACTCTCCTAAGTAGCTCCCCCAACGAGCCCTGATCACCAACAGGTGTGTGGCAGGAACTTCAGGTGTGGCC